CGAACGCCAGCCACCTTTGAAGATGGGAACAATAACGGAGCGACTCCAGTCGGTTGGGACAGTCTCCTGCTCCCACAGTTTCACTAGTAATTCATGTAAAGCATCAACAAGAGCAGGTCCCCCGAATTTGAAGAGGGCTGGAAGAAGATCATCTGGTCCCGCGGCTTTGTTCAACTTCAACAGTCAGATCTCACGTTCGACTTCTGAACGAGAGGGTGGATCCAAAGGGACAGCGCACGGAGCAGGGCGATCACTAGCCGACGAAGAATCGAACAATTCTAGCCGATTAAATTGCTTTTCAAAATGTTCAGCCCAACGTTCCAAACGTTTTGACAAATTGTGGATAGACTGTCCACTCTCGTCACGTATAGTTTCACTAACACCAGGTCTCCTGTTGCCGGTTTCCCGTATCAGACGGAATAACTTACGATGATTGAGAAGGGCAGCGGCCACTTCCATCTCTGACGCACGATGAGACCACCAGGATTCGTGGTCTCTCTTTAGGCTATCACGGAGCTCTTTGCGAGTTTCATTGTGTTCGCTTCCAGCCGGGATATGTCGGCGAGCATCGATAAGTTCTAGAGACTGCGATGAGACCCAATATCCATGTTGGCTATTGGACATACCACATGAGGATTTGCCTGCTGCTAGTAAGGTCTGGCGAACATGTGACCAGTGACCATCAATTGTCTCCAGTGAGCGCTTACTCAACTTGCATGTCAGTGTACTTCGATACGCATTCAGAACAGCTGACTTTGCCAGTTGGCTGGTGTCAATGCGCTCACAAAATCGTCGTGGGCATCCGCCAAAACGCATCCGCATGTCAGCACATACAAGTGCATGATCGGTGTCCACACATGTGCTCCAAATCAAGCGACAGTTCTGGATGCAGCCTCTCCATCGGTAACTTATCGCAATGTGATCGATTTGCGTCCATAGCTGGTTCGTGGCTGGTGGGTGCCAAGTCAACCTCCGGCGGGTGCTGTGTCGGAAATTAGTGCTCGCAAGAAATAAGCGAGCATCCTCATACAAATGAAGTAACCGTTTACCGTTATCATTACGGGAGCCTACACCGTGCTGACCGCCCAGATGCATTTCATCAGTGGACAACTTTCTAGCTTGTGCGTTCATATCCCCGCCAGCACAACAGTGTCCCAGCTTCTTCTGTGGCGGAAAAGCTCGTTCTTTACCGAATAATCGCTACAGTTTGTGGGCGCGTAGGCAGCGATGATGAATAGACACCTATTAGTCCCGTACGACTTCGAAGCTTTGAACGAGCCAGCCAATCGGACCGCACACATCCGGCTACTGATTGGAATCCAATCAATCAGAGCAGCTTCAGCCAAGGGACTCAGGGCAACACCAGCTTGGCCAGTGCTCGAAGCTGTATCGTCACCAGATAGGCGCAATGAGAAAGTGCTGCTGGCGTCACCTGAAGGTGATCGCAGAGTGAGCACAGAGCTCGAGTCTTGCAGGCGGGTCTCTGATAAGCAGCAGATATCGATCAAAAGGGTCTCCAATGTTCGGGCAAGTGCTGCCTGTTGACCAATCTGAAGCAATGTGCGAACATTGAGGCATGCCAATCTGAAGGAGGATCGAGGGCTCCAAATGCAAACCGATGAACTGGAATGGACCGCTTGGTTGGACATGGGATTGTCGACAAGAGAGGAGTGACGCTCCGCGTTAGCATGTGAGTTGAAATTAGAAGATAACTGCCTAGCAAAGCATGTTGGGGGAGGGCCAAGAATCGGGAGGTTGAAAACTGGGGGGATATAAGTGAAGTTGGAGCGGGACGGTAAAAGTGAAAACGCGCAAGAGGAGGAATAAGAAGACGGGAAGGCTTGAGCAGTAGCCTCCAAACCCCTATCCACTCTGCTCGATGCAGCAGATAGGGCACCGTTGATTATCCTCTGCGGTGGCCAGGTCATCGAGAAACGGTTTGAAGAGAAATTCATTGTATTGCGTGGGCAGGATACTGTCAGGTTGCCCAGGCCTAGACAGGAGAACGACTAGGGTTCTCAACCAAAGCCTTTGGTTTAAAAACCTGACCGCAAGGCATCGGGTTTGGCGTTGGGCTACAAGGAGTCCGTTTTAAGGAATAAGGTGCCACCCTCATTCCAACCCCAAACCTGGAGGACCAGGAGGCTGAGTTTGTCTGGCCTCTAACCATTGACCAATCTGGTATGAGTGTCTCTGAAGGTGCAAAAGCACCACCCAGCATAGCTCAATGGATCGCTGAGGCGCACAAACCATCGCACCGCGGTAAGGTCCAGCCTCATTGCAATGGTGAGTGCAGTTTAAGGGCCGGTCATCACCGTTAGGCTTCAGGAGTTAAATTCTGGGTTCGATATTCTACCCAATTGAGCATGCATACAAACCGTGCTGATTGCAAGATCGGCGCTTTTAATCATTCGAACTCCAGAGGAGATCCGCCTATGGAGTTGGTCATTGATGACCTCCGGGTTTATGTCAAATGTTTGCGATTGGGACCCGAGTTCGGATCACACAATGTATCAGTCCACTGGGACCGATCTGAGTACAGCGCCCAATGCGAATCCGTTGTGCGCCATGGTAACACGGTAAATGTCATGGATCGTGAATGTGACATCATCGGAGAAGCAAAAGATGCGGGTTTAATTATCGGAATCTCAGTATGATATTCGCATAAACGCCAGGAAAGTGCGTCGTATATGCATGTGGCTGAGAAACAGTATGCATGGAAGTCGAGAGAGTGCAAGCGCTGCTTATACACCAAGGTAGCGGGAGAATGAGGCCGAGCGAGGCCAGCCAGGTGGTAATACAATCTGTGATTTCACACTATTCTGGCTGATAACGATGAACCGTAGAAATTGAGCAAAATCATGTTCTTTGCACGTCTGATGATCAAATGACTCGGCTCGTCTTTTTCGCTATAAGCGGAGATTGTTAGGTATAGTTACAAAGCAACCGGAAGATAACCCGATAGCTACACGAAGGACGAACAGACCAGACTGTGGCCTTCCGTGTCGTTGGCATGGATGAGCTAAGGGGATAGAACAAACTAGAGGCGAGAGGCTGTAGCTCAACATGGTGCAATTGATGAGCTAGCGAGGCGCCTGTTCGCGGCAGTTCGAATGCATTTGTGATTTGTCAGGTCCTAAGCTCCTTCTACTCTCATCATACCTTTGAATAATGTTGATCGATTTTTGTCCCCTTAAGCTGCGCCTCCATTTACCGTAGCGAATATACACAAGAGTTGAGTATCCAGGTGGGACAACGATGGAGTTGGAGAGACAAAATGTGTCAGCCAGAAAATAGATGGAAATGAAGATGTACAATTGGATCCACGTAAATAAAGTCAAAGTAAAGTGATCTCATGCGCATGTCCTGAAAACGAAGCCGACGCTCATCAGAATGGGGATGGGGGGAAACGAATGGTTCGAAAGCCAGTTTTGTTACCTTGTGTCAGGGAACTGCACCGCAGAATGCAACTAACGACCGCGCGCAGTAGACCAGCGACAATTGGCCGTTGATGTTGCACCTGAGTCAGACAGATGTAAATGAAGGTTCGAGTAAGGCGAGCCGGACCGATGGAGTATACTCCTGATCGCCAGATGGTAAATGAGGGCGATCCGTGCAACACATCAAAAGCGCTTTAATTGTCACATTGTGTGGGTACTTGATTTTAATCCCCTAGGAGTGAAGAGAGTTGATAAGGGTACTGCAAAATTCAGAAAAATAAGCAAAATTGATCAAGACGACACCGATGAGCTTGAGTAAACCGCCAGCCTGCCTAAGAGATTAGTGGACACGGCACAAGACACACACAATGGTCCAATACCACAATGTGAAAATAAGGAACGGGTGCATTAGAGTAGTCTGATATGAATACCCGGAAAACTCAAGAGAGATTTAACCATTCTAAGACCGAAATCTGTAAGCCGTTTGCAGTTGCATTAACATATAATTTTTCAAATACAAGGCTATCAGAATGATTCGTTTACCAAGCCAAATGGCAGACTCGAAACTGATAAAGCGATTGGATTTCATTTGCAAACTAAAGCCCAGGTATGGAAGTACAGCACGTCGAATATTTGTGTTGGATCCTTAGGTGAAAACAAGGGAGCAGTGCAACACTTGAAACTTAGATCAAGCGTAAACGAAGATTCGCGAAGCTTGTAGATAGTTGCCAGACTTCCGGACACAAGCGAGTAGTGATAAATGAGTCACAGATAAGCCCCCTACTGTCACAGGTAACTTATGAAGCCCTTACTATATGCCACTCGAGTTATGGACAGAACCCTCATCTCTCTCTCTCTCTACTCATCTTCTAATGCAGCGAGAACAACAAAAGTGAGATAGGTCCGCGCTAATCACCGACAAAATTAGCCAGAGTGAATGTAAAGGCACACGGAAAGCATCGCACGGCGCAGTCAAAAGCGAAAAGCTCCGTAGCGTAGCTTAAAGCACGCTGTGATGGGGCGTGTGCCTGGTGTTCGCAAGGTACACATTAAAGAGCTTCTCAAGCATCATTAGACATATGCCGAGCTGCACCAAAGCCTAACCAGCGGGATGACGAGACAATCCTAACATTGGGATGAGATTTTGCAGTAGCCACGCTACGTACACTTTACAAGAGTGAAAGTAGCAGGAGTGATGCGTAGTGCTTCCTGAGTGGTCAAAAGATAGCTCAAAGATCAACCGTGAATAAATGGTCTGCGTTCGTAAGAGGATGTTTCCGATGCAATGTAGTGAGGTAAACACCATCGCTATGAGTGCATTTATCCAACACCATGTAAACAAAACCCAATATTGAGTTGCTGAAGCTCTTCAAGCTATGGTAAAAAACAGTGGAATTGACGATGGAGGTCAGTTTCGCTTCCACGTAAAGTAGACATACTCGTATAACTGGCATACGGGTGGATTGTGTGCGATAAGAAATCTATGAAATCAAATTTAAAACGAAAAGTTGGTACAAACTGCTTTCTCTCAAGCATAAAATGTGTGAATGATAAACTTACGCAGATGTTTTACCAGTTGCCCCGTTTAGCTGTTGTCGGTTTGCTGCAAAAACTTGATACAAATGCAATAAGCACAGTGGTGCCCAAATCGCAGCCGCAGTTGGGCGAAGAACTACACAGCCGATCGCAAGGACAATAAACCGCAAATATCCTCGCTCAACTGACCGGAATGTGTGAGTGCCGCAAACGACAGTCCATGGATAATTAGCCAAACCGACTACGACGAGGCACCATTCCAAGCAATTGGAGAGCGTTCTTGGTGCGCAAAAGAAGGTGAACCAATTGAAAAGCTGATGAAATAGAGCCCACTAAAGAAAGGAGCATGTGAAATATAAAGTTTGTACCACAGGTTTCAAAATGCTGAGCATTTGTCCACACCGATGAAAAAAACCAATGAAAACTTTGTAAATGTCAGAGCGCGAGGAAATGAATGTGAAAAAATCTCCAATGCACTTACAGATCAGCAGATGGTTCTCTAATACTAGAGATATTCGATGAGGAGTAGAAGCGGTACTGAATGTACCGGATGGCCAGCTAACTGTGTGGAGTTGTTGTACATCGCTTAGAAATCACAGGGGATCTAAAATGATTAAAATGCCCCTTACACAAGACCACCGGTTCGAATTTGTGTGAGTGCCGGCGACCCTCGCAGTAGCTCTAGCCTCCCCACGCGTGACCGGTGCTGCTCGCGTGACAGCGAAACCTCAGTGCGACGCACCGGTGTACTGTTGATGACCTATTTTCATTTTCGCTTTACGTTCACATAGCAGCGATTATATGCGCACCACAGAAATTTCGCACGGTGTACGGTATCCGTGGGCTGCTAGGGGACAGAGGAGCCGGTGAGTGATGAATTCTCAAACAGCTTTAGAAATCACGAGTAACCATGTGAGAAAACAAGCTGTAGTAAGCGGCTATAGCGTCGAAACAGGACAGCAAAGGATAAGTTAATGGCAAAGAGCGCCAACTACGTTAAGAACGAAGCACTCAAGTAATTCTATTTTATTAACCAGGGATGGTCCAACCGGGATTCGATAAACTGATTTCGAAGTCTCCAGTCATGAAATGCGCAACTCAGCCAAACGACGGGACCGACTTAGTGGCGCATTAGATGCGGTGAGTAAAGAAAAGGTATAAGCAATACGCCGGTAAACAGTATTGACGATTCGCTGCCGCGCAATCCCTATCAGCCGCACGTGGGCCAAGGATACTGCGAGGGTCGTCCGGTCCCTACGCAGACTCAAACTCTCGCCCTCGGATTACAAGGCAAGCTTGTGATCCTTAAGGCTGCGAGGCGACGTAGAGCGAGTGACAACAAAAGTAACCCGTTCAGGATACGGCCCAAATAAAAGAGGCAGTTAGGATGCGGATTACGTGTGCATAAAGGGTCCTGCATAAAAGTACGTGTTGCATACAGTCGGCGGGTTGCCCACCAAATATGGTGACGGATTGCTCTAGTGACTTGCTGAAACCAAGATGTAGTGAACGTTTTGCGCGCAGATAACTATTGTGCAGCAGGTGGAAGTAACAGCGAGTACCCAAAGGGGAACAGAAAGTGCAGAGGGATTTCATCGTACCTTAGCGTGTGTCGTTCCACATAGTGTCACAACGAGCCGGTAGAGGTGCAGATCTGCAACAGCGGCAAGGATGGCGTGGAATACACGAGGGGCAGTGACAATGAAGCGATGGGAATCCAGGCCGGACAACGATGCAAGTTGGTAGATGAAGGAAATCACGAGGGGATAGATCGGACTTCTCAGAGCAATATCTGGGAGCCATTCCCATGTGAGTGAGCCATACCTAGGAGGGATCAAACCACAAGATGAAGTTTGAAGGCAGAAGAAGAAGCTTAGTACGCTCGGAACGAAAACGGAGGATTAGGCGAAGTATCGCTATAGTGCTTAGCAAAGGAAATTCTTCCAGGCAATAAAGCAGAGAAAATGTGCAAGAACAATACACGGGATGTCTGCTGGAAATGTTTACGAACACCGTGAAGGGGAATAAATGTATGCGCCAATGAGTAAGATGAAGAACTGAAAGGGCTCATCTGTCGTGTACCGAGCAGCAGGTCTCGTGATCCAACGCGCATACCTTGTTAAACACAGTGGAGTGACCAGCGATGGCTCGTACCGTTGATAAGTAATGGGACTGAATGAACACGGTGGCACACAGTCATAGGTCGAACAGCTGGATGTGTGAATTACACGCAGTAATCGACGGAAGTGAGAACAAATTCTACCTCAAAAGGTGGATCGTATGAGTTCAGTAGACAAGTGCACAGGAAACAGAAGAGCTAAACTATGTAGACACATTACTGTTATTATTATTATTATGATCATTATATTAGTGTATGGATATTCTACTGGCATAATCACTACGATCCAATATACCGGTAGTCACTGCAAAACAGAAGTTGGGGCAATTCAGTCCCTTGAAAAGATGAAATGGAATAATAAGGTAGAGCCGTTAACTTAGCTGACTTCAAGGTGGTAGTGACGACTCCAAGTGTTGTGAAAACTGTTTGACCTAAATCGTGAGAAGCAATAGACAAACAAGCTTGGTTGTCGTCATCTAAGACCAAAATCCTGCCTGGCAGTCTCTGGTAACGCCAGTGTTCGCCAAATTCAGTAATTTTGTCCCAAACTGAAGTTGATGCTTGACAGCTGGGCGAGAAAGCTGATTGCCAACGCACGCCTGTTTGCCACAAATCGTGCTTGGGAAAGATCCTGCGAGCATGTTGCCAGGGCCCAGCCGAAAACTGAGGAAATCGCGCACCAGACATCACGTGCGTTGCCATGCGCTGGATAGGCGGACGAAGACTGGAATGCCCGAGCAAGACGGTGAACTGGACAGACGGAGCGAACAAGCATGTATGGAGAGTGAGCTTACAGCCAAATCCGCCTGGTGATGTTTGGAGGGTTGGTGAGACCGACATATAAATATGAGCGTTCTCTGTCTTAATACAACTCTGGTCTGCTGAGTCTTCTTTTGTCTTCCTGTCGGGTTCGTAAAGGGGTCAAACAGAGCAGACGTAAGGGCGCAGATTTACCAGCAGGCGTGAATCAACCGGTCGATTGCGAGCACAGCGTTATAACAGTGGCGACGCTAGTACAATCGAACCCAGAAATGGCAATCAGTTGTGAACAATTGCACATGCTTTTGCAGCAACAACAGGCCCAGTTTGAAGCATCCAAGGCCAAGCTGACAGTGCACCCAAGCCCAAGGTTAGGGACAAGTGAAAGTGCTCCCTCAGCAGGAACTCTGACTCAGCAGATCAGTGAGTTCCATTATGACGCTGATGCTGGTATAATATTTGTTTCTTGGTTCCACAAATATGAAGATATGTTCCGGGTTGATCTTGCCAACCTTAAGCGGAAAACAAGATTCGACTAATGCTGCGGAGGCTGGGTGCTGTCGAACACGAGAAATTCACCAATTTCATCTTACCTAAAAAGAGTACCGATTTGTCGTTCGATGAAGTGGTTGCAGTCCTGTCGCAGATTTCCGGAGAGCAGACATCTCTGTTCAACATCCGGTACAAGTGACTGACAATAACCAAAAAGAAGCTGAAGACTGGGTCGACTATTCCAGCCGTGTGAATCGCGAGTGCGAACGGTCACAACTACACAAGATGACAAGTGATCAGTTCAAATGTCTCATACGTTTGTGGCATACAAACATCCAAAGACGCCAACATTCGAACAAGAATACTGCACAAAATTGAGCAGAATCCGGATGTCACATTGCAGCAAGTGATCGGTGAGTGACAACGCATGACGAATCAGAAGCACGATACCGCAATGATTCAGTTGTCCAACCAGAACGATCAAGATTTTGTCTGTGCCGTCAGCCGTACTCCCCAAAAGGAAGCTTGCTACGTGAGTTCACCGCATTTTAAACCTCCCACTGCATGTTGGTTTTGTAGAGAGTGGCATTTTGCCCGCGAGTGCCCATTCAAAACTCACACTTGCAACCGCTGCGGCATAAGGAGTCATGTTGCCTGGCGACTCGTCCAATTTGACGAAGAAGATGCGTAACAATGCCAGATCGTTCCGGTGTCCCAATGTGACCAGATCTATCACCGCAACTTTCAAGGTTGACTGGGCCAGCAAGCGCAAATACACAATTGGGAAAATCAACGGCTTCCAAGTAAAGTTACAAATCGACACGAGTTCAGATATCACCCTGATATCTCGCGACACTTGGTGCATGCTGGGGCGATCGGCACTCATACAAACGGGCCAAACGGCACGGAATGCCTCAGGAGGTACGTTAAAATTGCTTGGTAAATTGAATTGTCAGGTAAACTTCTGCAATAAACAAATCCAGACGACATGTTTCGTGACAGACCAGTCGGGGTTAGATTTGTTGGGGCTCGACTGGATGGATGAACTGAATCTGCTTGATCAATCAGTGAACAGTATATGTCAGCCACCGCAAGTCCATCTGATGTCGCAACCGTCGACTTCAAGCCCGATATTTCAAAGTCAGATTGCCGAGATAAAACGACGTCACGATGCATTGTTCCAACCGGGTCTCGGATGCTGCAACATAGCTACTGCCTCACTGAACCTTAAATCAGATGCCAAACCAGTCCTTAGATCAAGACGCACGGTGCCCTACGCAACCCAGTCCTTAATGGAAGCCGAGTTGAACCGACTACAATATGAAGGGATAATCGAAAGTGTTCACTATGCAGAATGGGCAGAACCTATCGTAGTGGTAAAGAAAGGAAACGGTGCTGATTTCTCGACAGGTTTGAATTCTGTGTTGGAAGATCATCAGTATCCCCTGCCGGTATCAGAATTGTTCAGCAAACGCAATGGGGGGAAGTGTTTCGCAAAACTTGACCTAGCTGATGCGTATCTGCAAATCTAAGTTGCCCATCAGTGCAGAATATTGCTGGCAGTAAACACCAACCTCAGACTTTGTCAGTACAACCGGCTGCCGGTCGGAGTGAAAACCGCACCGGCCATTTTTCAACAAATAATGGATACCCTGCTGAGGGATATCCCATATATAACAGTATACATGGACGATGTGTTGATTATGGGCTCAGATCCGCAAAACTTGATACAGACACTGGAGAGAGTGCTTTCGCGTCTCCAGAAAGGTGGATTCCGTATACGGGCTGAAAAATGTGAGTTCCTATTAGAAAGTGTTAAATTTCTTGGGTTCATCATCAACAAACATGGCCGGCGCCCGGATCCCGCCAATATTGAAGCTATCAAAAAGATGAAGGTCCCAGAAGACATTGCAGAGCTCCGCTCGTTTCTTGGACTCGTTAACAATTACAGCGCTTTCTTACCAAGCCTTCATCAAACCAGAGGTACGCTGAACCAGCTACTGACAAAAGACAAGGGTTGGAAATGGACGAAAAAGTGCCAGCAGTCTTTTGATGCAGTCAAAACAGATCTCACTTCGGATCTACTCTTGACTCACTTCAATCCGAATTTCAAAACTGTCCTTGCTACGGACGCTTCCAATTATGGTGTCGGTGCCGTTATCTCCCACATTTTTTGCATGGAGGAGAGAAGGCTATCGCGCACGCAGCACGGTCACTAACGCCAGCTGAAAAAAACTATAGCCAGATAGAGAAGGAAGCGCTCGCGATTGTTTTCGCAATGAAACGGTTTCATAAGATGTTGTATGGCAGACATTTCACGCTCCTGACTGACCACAAGCCACTTCCGTCGATATTTGGTTCAAAGAAAGAAATTCCAGTTTTACGGCGAACCGATTGAAACGATGGGCGACCATACTACTGGCCTACGACTTCAGCATACAGTATAAACCGACACAACAGATCGGTCAAGCGGATGCCCTGTCTCGTCTCATCAGTTCACACCCAAAGGAGAATGATGATTGTGTGATTACAGCTATCAGTTTCGAAGCAGAAGTCCAACGAATCCTGGCTGATAATGTGAGAAGACTACCAGTAACAGCCGACACTATTCGTATGGAGACATCACGGGACAGAATCTTGGAGAAAGCGATGCAGTGTGTACGAACATGTTGGTCAAATGGAGACCTACCTATGGAGTTGCGGCCGTTTTACCATCGACGTGGACAATTGTCTGATGTTTGGAGATCGAGTGGTGGTGCCAAGGAAATTACAGAGGCAAATATTCCAGCAGTTCCACACGGTGCATCCTGGAACCAGCCGCATTAAAGCCTTGGCACGCAGTATTGTTTACTGGCCAGAAATGGATTCGGAAATTGAAAAATTCTGCCAACAGTGTGAATCTTGTCAACTTGCAGCGAAGGCTCCTCCCAAGTGTCAGTGGCAACCTTGGCCTAAGGCAGAGAAACCGTGGCAACGAATACCCTTAGACTATGCAGGACCAATCAATGGCCAATCCTATCTCGTTTTGGTTGACGCACTCACCAAGTGGCCTGATGTGATTCCGGTAAACAATCCGACTGCCCAGCACACTGTCAACGAGCTGGAGAAGCTGTTCCGATATTTCAGCCTGCCAAAGGTGTTAATGACAGACAATGGAACACAATTTACCTCGACTTCTTTCCGCGAGTGATGCAAGGAAAAGGGAACTCAGCAAATGTTCTCACCACCATATCATCCGTAATCAAACGGACAAGCGGAAAGGTTCGTGGTTACGTTCAAACGTGCACTCTGTAAAGCAGGACAAAGAAGGGATTCACAGGATGCAATTCAATCTTTCCTATGCATGGATCGAAACGCTTCGAATCCAAACTCCCCTGATGGGAAATCCCCCACAGAAGTACTATTTGGAAGAAAGATCCGGACGTCGTTCGATAACCTTTTACCAAGGAGAATAGAAAAACACGGCAGTAGTCACCTGGAGGAAGATCGCAAAGTCAGGCTCCGTAACTTCAATATTGGTGATATGGTTTACGCCCGGGATTTTCGAAGGCCGAAGGGGTGGTCGAGCGGAACTGTTATCAGCAGGAAAGACAGAGTTATCTACGAGGGGATGGTTGGACGCGAGAGGTGGATTAGGAACATCAATCAGTTGAGACCGAACCATGGCAAAACCCAAGGTCACCACGAGCCACTAGCTTTGCATTGGGACATTCTACTAGACAGGTTCGGACTGGAAGTTGAGGGTCAGCAACTCGGTGAGACAAACCAAATGCCGCAAACCTCGAATGCACAGTGCAGGCCGGCTCGGAAGCGGAGAAGACCACAACGCCTGCAAATCGATCCCCGGGCGAAAAGCTACGAACGCAGTCAGGTTCGAAGGGTGTGCAAACTGACTCAATTCGGAAAGGGAGGTGACAGATGGGCGAGAAAGCTGATTGCCAACGCACGCCTGTTTGCCACAAATCGTGCTTGGGAAAGATCCTGCGAGCATGTTGCCAGGGCCCAGCCGAAAACTGAGGAAATCGCGCACCAGACATCACGTGCGTTGCCATGCGCTGGATAGGCGGACGAAGACTGGAATGCCCGAGCAAGACGGTGAACTGGACAGACGGAGCGAACAAGCATGTATGGAGAGTGAGCTTACAGCCAAATCCGCCTGGTGATGTTTGGAGGGTTGGTGAGACCGACATATAAATATGAGCGTTCTCTGTCTTAATACAACTCTGGTCTGCTGAGTCTTCTTTTGTCTTCCTGTCGGGTTCGTAAAGGGGTCAAACAGAGCAGACGTAAGGGCGCAGATTTACCAGCAGGCGTGAATCAACCGGTCGATTGCGAGCAGTGTTGTAACAATGGTCGATCGCATTAATTCTGTTCAGATTTCTTTTAACGGTGCTGTGAACGGTGAAATCACTTACTAACTGAGTCCTCGCCTTACCTGAGTTAATTGATTGATCAGGAGTAAAACTGTGCAATATTCATGCATATAGGTTTAGTAAAACCCGAAATGTTCAAGTAGTGGCGCTTTTGACGAGGCGTCAGTAAAAATTAGACCCAGCTTTCACGGAATAATGACCGTGGACATAACAAAGGTGGCTAGTACCTTTGTGCGGAGAGTTGCAAATTCAAGCGAATTATAAGGAAAGACAGTCTGAGCTTGTGAGTGATACGCGCACAAACACCGTGGCAAAGTCGGAAATTACACACACCTTAGGCATACTGGCAAAATAACACCGATCAAGGCCACAGGCAACTTGAGTATGGTGGTCTTTAATTAACGCAGTGCATAGCTCGCTTTGAGCACCAGGATTCGCGGTCAGAGCGAAGACTTGATTTCAATCGTTGAGAGATAGACCGACGGAGTTCATTGTGCTCCGCACCGGCGGGCACAGTCAAGCGACGAACTAGCAGTTTCGGGGATCTTACCGAAATCCCACTTTTGAATGTGTAGCGGGTGAGGCCGCAGCTGGACAAACCGGCGGACAGCATGGCTTGTCACAACTATCCTGTGCTAAAAGAAAAATAAACAAGACACTGCAAAATGATTGCTTAAAGCTAAGCAACGCAAGAGTCGATTAATGTCTACAAAAGCTAAAGTTTGGGGAGCTCAAACTAAACCCAAAATCGTTGCTATGCCAGTGAAGTTGATGCAAAAACAACGAAGAGCAAATGTCCAGAAAATGTTTACTAAACCAACATCCCAAAGTGTGTCAAATCAAGTGTGCGCGCTACTCTAAACATCGTCGAACATATGCAAATATGTCAGATGAATGGACAAAATTGAATGAGCTAGCTTGGTACCGGTGACAGAGCAACCCCACTTCCTGGGAAGAGAGAATGGGTGTGTGAGAGGTCAACACGTTGTTCTTGGTACAAATAAGGTGTACTAAACAACGGGAATCAGCTTTGGCATTATCTGAAGGAAATAGGTAGCAAAAAAGTATATAGGCTTCAGAGGTGGAAGAAATATGGCGGTGTCGCAAACTTAGAATGACTGCCCCACAATACACTCATTACACCACTGTACGGTGTTAGCATAGATCACTATTCAATTTCGACGGCAGATCCGTTGAAAACCTAGCCGGTTTGCTGAGTAGACGCTCGTGCACTTCAGGGCCGCTGAACAGTGAATGTACCCGTTTTGACAGCCAACCCGGATTGGAATGAAGACAAAAATTTTGACACTGATGAAACTTAGGGCCGAACGAAACTAATATTCGCGTTTGTCAGAGAAATAGTCTAAAACTACTTCGTCAAAGTAAGGTAATTGGCATAGTTGGAAGCGCAAAAAATTCACACTTCCAACTTCTGCAATGTCTCCACTGGGAGACAAAGCCAAGAACACACGGATGTGATGAAACGCTTTATCAAGCTCGGATGTTGATACGGAATGAGAGAAGTAAATTAGTTACGTGTTGATTTTCCGAAAATATGGAAAATACATAGAAATTTGAATAGGAATCATCAAAACTAGTGAGAACGTGACTAGAGCAACTTCCTCAACGGTTTTCGACACAATAATATCTGGTCCCATAAAACCGATGGAGTGAAATTAAGGACAACAGCATTACTAGCTTGACAAGGTGTCGCAATCAAGGCAATGGGCGATACAAAACAAGCCTGCAGAAGACAACAAAACATACTGTTGCGGGCACGTCAAATATTCCCGCAAAAACACGCCAGAAACCCCGGCAGAATGGCTGTGGAAACCGAGGTCCAATTCCTCCCCACAACGCAGCAGAGCTCAGCCACTCCGAGACGCGCCCCAACTGCGCACGTTTCGACAATGCTCATTTGCAAACTACCACCTCTGCGTGGTGACTGTTTTCCCTAACTTAATAACCCATAGCACTGGCTGTGATCGCCCTTTGTCGGTCGTAAAAGAGCCTACAGAGGATCACTTCTTTTCTTCCTCTTCGCCTCAGTTGGGAGTCGGTCGGGTCACGTGATTGCGTGTGAGTCGTTAGCTGGCCAGCCTTCGCGTCTAAGTCATTAGCGCGCGTCTATCGTAACCCCCTCTCGTGTGCGTCCGTTTTCCGAGATCTCAGCGTCTATCCGAACAAGCGCGGCTAGGATCGTTCACACGCTCGCCCAATTTTCCGTCTCACCGGCTAAGCTAGCGTCATCAGGTCAGCGCAACTCCGTTCGAGTGGCCAGCGTTACAAGTCGTCATCGTAGGCGTGCTCCAACGGTGCGAGCGACAATCTTGTCACGCAATTATCTCAGAGGCGGCGTTCCCTCAATTATAACACATACTGCGCGCGATAAGCAAAGCGTCGGTGTAAAAATACTAAACATGTAATTTCCCCCAAAAAACCAGGTATTAGGACGAAAAGATGGCTTGTCGTTTACGACTCTCTGGCCATGGAGAACGCAGTAGCTGTTCGACAAAAGAACTATGATTTTTTGAGTTCGTCGCCATCAGCCGACAGTTCAGACAACTCAATTACCAATCCAGAAAAGCGCCAGACGGCCGTTTTGTCCAATTGGGACTCGTCAATGGTCCTCTTCCGGGGATCGAACCCATGACTGCTGGTGGCTTGCGTCAATTAGCCCGTAGCTTATGCCACTGAGCCTTGGGACACGGTGGTCGAGCATCATAAATTGTCAGCTAACTGCGATATAGCCAGATCCATCATCCAGTGCCAGGTAGATGACAGCGTTTGGCCTTCCGGTGTCAAGATGTCCCCGTTACGACAGCTATGAATCATGGCATTTATGAATTCCCTAAGGGTGAATTTGTGTTACTTAAGAGTAGAAAGATTTTGGTTAGTTTCTGAGTTCGTCGCAATCAGCTGACAATTCAGATAAGTCAACTACTAAACCGGAAAAGCAGCAGACGGCCACCTGGCATCCGTTTGACGCTGCCACCATGATCACATTTTGTTGAGACATGTTCACACTGGATTCCTGCGTTTTACCGAGGCTGTTGCGATCAGCCAGCAGTCTGTGTGCAAAGCATCTGTTCGCAAGCTAACGGCTCACATGGACGTAGGGGTTGACACATCTGTCCTCCAACCTGTCTCTGTGTTATCTGGTCACATCCTAGCCGTAGTTATAAGTAGTTTTCCTGCCATTGTATCGGCAATGACAAGACAATACGAAATGTCAACACCTGCCAAGTTCTCACCGTGTTAGTTAAACTGAGAAATGGAGCTAACTGCTTCAAATTTGCTTTCAGTACCAAGAAGATGGTGCAACAAAAGTAAAGAAATTAGTCGATTAAAAAGGACAAAAATTCCGAGACAAAAAGAGTATTAATCCACAAGTCAGTACAGAGTCATTGATATGTTGCTTACCCAAAGGTCCATTTGTGAGCAACCTCAATCGATTGCCAAAATTCGTCCGGAACAAAAGTGGTTTGGATGATAAGAGAGTTGATCAAGCGGAAGACCAGTAAAGCCAAAAACAACCTTCGTTCCTTCACCACCAGTGAGTCGACATTGAAAGAGCCTAAAATTTTGTGCACGAAAATTATAAAGCAATGCAGAAATTCGAACTCGAAGGAACGTGAAACGGCAGATGTAGCGCATTCAAGCAAACACATACATACCACATATCACGGTTACTAAATGAGTAAAACGTGTCAAAGGTTTAAAGAACTCACCAAGCATGCGTCGAAACCCGCGAATGACTCCGATGAAAAGTAGTTTCATATAGCGGTTCAAAGCTGAAAACAAGTAATTGGATGACGAAGTTAGAAGTGTTAAAGGACAAGTACGTGAATCACAAAAACGCTCAGCTGAGTGCCGATTGTATTTACCAAATCAAGTAGCAAAACTGTACAGACATAAAGGTGTAAGGCCTAATTACTTCGCCTTCTTAGGCTGTACTTCTTCCTGGCAAAAGGATTCATCCGTTTCGAGACCGATATCAGAGATGTCGATTCCGACCTGAGCCAAAGCATCCACAGCCCAAGAGGGAGGCCGAAATCCGTCATATTCTGACCGAGTTTGATCTGCATTTTTTAGGTAGCATCGCCGTTCAAAGAAATGGCGCACAAATCGAGGAAAGGAATCGGAGGAAATAGCCTCGCGGATCCCTTTCATCAAAGTGAGCATGTAGGTCAAGTTGTGCAAGCTGACAATCGAGGAAGCATTCGTTTGGCGCCCAGATAGAGAGGCGTGAATGAAAGCACGCGATATGCGCCGAGTGCAGTATGGACAACTGCAGTCTTCATCGATCGGGCGAAAATCAGACTCGTAACGAGCTTGACGAAGGTTTAACTGTGGGCGAGGTAACAGTAATTGGCACGATTAATGAGCTAAAAATCAGATGGTGCAATTGGAAACAACAGAGAACGAAGCGTCATTACTGCCAGCTAACAAGATCCAAAACAGCACTCGAGACAGCTAGAGCTATTGCGCCACAATAAAACTCGAGTAAAGTCACGGCAATAGAACAAAAGTGAAACAAAATAGTAGTTTAGGCATCGACAAAGAGATCATGAGTGGAAGAGGAGGCCAAACGGGACGGAGTGGGAGAAAGAAACCCAACAGACACCATTGAAGTTGACTCCTGGCCAGGTCAACAAGTGTATCCACCCAAACGTGTTCATCGTCTTCGGACACCAACCAAGAAGTCGAGAGACTCGAACCGAGGTCAACTTCGAAGTGAGGGAATTCATTTCGCTTGATCAAGTCATTATTTAAACGTCACACTTCTTCCATCCAGATCCCAGTGGCGAAAACAACGCATATCGCGGGAGTCGGTGTGCTGGTCCAGCCTTTGGAGCCTAGTACGACTAACAGTGGTACTGAGCGAATCACTCACTGTTTCTACACCTACTAATAGAGATAGAACACATCCATTACTCGCGCGGTTTCCACCAGACGTGGACTAAGCTGCGAATGCATCGGTGACTGAACATGACAAGCCTCTTTACATCCGTCGATCTGATGAGTCAAGTTTCACAACCGCGTAGTACTGCTGAGCGGACAGCAGCGTTAAAGACTCTACCCTTCAGGGCGAGAGCGATGTCACGCCGGCGCCACAAGTGGCGCAGATTTGCATAAGCACGTAGACCTCTGGCTATTCAGTTCGCGATCTCATCTCTTCCATAGGCCCTGATACAGCTACCTGGATAGTAGGATTTAATAATAGCTTAAATATGATTCCTACTAAGGGTCAGCGCAGGGAGCGGTCCCCGACAATACTGAAAAAAGGTGTTGCATTGTAAGGGTGCATAGTACAACACGAAATGACTGACAACCATTGATAATCTGTCCAGTGCTGCTTGGTACGTTTATGGGCTCACAGGTTTGAACAATATCGTAGGTATAATCAAGAAATCGCTCGTCTTGTAGTAGCTTTATACTTTCTAAGCCGTGTCCAGTGAAGGTAGTTCCTATGACCGAGTTAACGAGAAAGGGTGGCAATGGGTATCCTTGTATCTTACTACTAGTTATATTAAGGAGCGGTACAATTTGCCATAAGCCCTCAATCTGTCCGAGCTACGCACAAAAATGCTCTGATAACGTTTGCGTAGTTAGCAGATACACGTTTCCTGATCAAACAGTCCTAAATGGGACATAAATTCACCGAATCAAAAGCACATTTGGTGTCGAGGTTGGTAATCAGATTTACCACATAAAGACATACCACTGCTAATAAGGTCTGGAGAACATTCAACCAATGATATCTAACTGCTTTCAATGAGCATGGATGCCATCGGACTTTAATACACATCCGAAAAAGCTGACTTCGCCAGTTGGCAAGGATCTATGCGCCAACAACATCGTCGCCGAAACGTACCTACGTACGGCACATATCAAGGCATGGTCGGAGTCCACACACGTGCACCAAATCGTGAGTTTTAGACGCAGCCATGCCAGCGGTAAGTAATCGCGATGTGATCGACTTGGTTGATCAGAAACGGGTGGACGCGGACTTTGTGTTGGTAGTGTTCACGGGAAACTATCGATCACCTTCACACAAGTAACCGCTCACGGCGATCACCACGGAGCTTACACCAC